ATCTCAACATCACAGGACCTTCTTGCTCATACCACTTCATCAGGAGGTCAATGTCAGGACTGGTTGGGTTGGTTGGGGGAATCTGTGGCATAGAGCACGGGAGGTTGGCCAGAACCACCCTGGAGAGAGCTGGTCCAGCTTCAGGCTTATGACATCCTCAGCCTGACCCCTCAGAGAATCTCATTCCAGAAAAAGGAAAAAGAAACCATAAAGTAACATGCCTGCTGCAGCCAGGTCCAGATGTGGGCCACAGCCTGATGGCTGTGCAGCATGGAAAAGCAACCCTGGTTATGAACACAGTGGTGGGCAGGCACTGATGTGGGGTTAGCTAGCACCTTCCCTGTCGTCCAGTTAGGAACAGTTTTTATACTTTCTATATAAAGATTTTCTTTTGCAATTTGACAGTACCTTGAAAAACAAAGTCATTTAAAAAGCAAGGCAAATGGCATATAAGACATGAGTATTTGAGAACAATGGCTAACAGCGACACAAGTGTTTTGGTCCATTCTTCATATTGGTGTATGCTATTGACAGACAGCTGACCTTCATTTAAGTGATTGCAAAATATATATGAGAAATGCTTTTTTTTAAACAAGATTTCTCTTTTTTGAGTTATAGCTCCCCTCTCAGGCATCCTAGAGAACCAAGGGAATTTTTTAAAAATCATAAATATCAAGGACAATTTCCAAATCTAACTTTTGAACCAACTGGAAATTCTTAGACACTTCTCTCAAGGAAGTCAGATACTCTGGACTCAATAAAGGTGAATATTTTGAGGTATTTATTTTTAATGAGATGGTACCATGATTAATTTCTACCTTCACCATTTTTTTTTCTAAAACCAAACCTATCAGGTTCTAGACAGAAAAATTCAGAAAGTAATGCATTTGATGTGACAGAAACCAAAAAAGGTATGGTGATATGCTCTCATGTGTCTGAGTGACATCAGCCATGTGACTAGTAACGGTTGAGGTTAGTCCAGTAATAAAGAACATTCACAGAATCATGAAATCACAAGATTAGAAGGGACCTTAAGAAGGACTATCAAATTCATATTTCACTCAAAGTTTTAATCTCCTTTTCAACATCTCTGACAAGGGCTACCTACTGTTAAAAACTCCCTTGAATCAGAAAATATAAGGGAGGGACTCTATTCCAATTGGCACAGATCTAATTTTTAGATACTGCTACCAGGTTAGACCTAAAGAAGCTTCGTGGTGGAAAGGCTAATGTGTAGGTAGAACTGTCAACTAAAACCACTGAGGGTTTGATATGTGGTTCCTGGTTGTAAGGCTAAGCTAAAGTTTAAACGTAAACATAGATGTTCTAGAATTCAGTTATGGACATATGATACTTGAGTCTTAAAAAAGGGCAAAAAGTGTAATAGCAAGAAATAGCTGTTCCAAGCCCTGTCATGTGCTCCTGCCTCTGCAGAGAGGGTCCCCTAGATGGCGGCTGCTGAGTGAGTTCCTTCCACTCTAAGTTGAGAAAGATCTTTCTATTTCACTTGGCAGGTGCCCCCCTGACGAGGCCCTTCCACCTCTACCACATTGTACTAAAATGACCTGTGACTTTTGAGAGTGGTCTGAGGCTGAAGACAGGGAGAGTAGCAACTGCCTGTTCATGCCCTGTGACACTTAGTGCTGTGCCACAGTAGGGCAGGTCTAGACTTTCTCTTCTGTAAAGCAGAGCAGCTGAGTGCAGCCCACTTATGGATGAGTCTGGATTCTTCCAGGCAAGGGCTGCACATGTAATGGTCCCTGTTCCACCTCACAGCCTCCAGTGAAAGCCAGTGCATCTGGAAAGATCCCAAACTTAGTTACCACAGGTCATTTTCAGATACCAATTCTGGGATTTCCAAGGAAAAAGAAATTGATACTAGCACTGACTACAGGGTGAGCTCCGAGCACACCTATCATGGAAACTGTGTTTGCCCTCCCTCTGAGGCTCTGAAACATCAGCGTCTAAGAGCCGCATGGGCTCAGGCTTCAGGCTTGCAGCTGAGTCACCACAAGTTCCCTGGCAATGCCAAGCCCCTTGCAGTCCTTGGGCACACCAGGTGGAGAGCAGATTTAGGACTTGGTTGCTCTGTTTCTGCTGCCTGGATTTCCCTTTCTTCTCCTACTTGTCTCACTCCTTATCAGGTGACACTCAGCACAGAATTCCCTTCCTCTGCCAAGTTCCTCCTGCCCTGCCTGCTGAGTTAGAGGCACCCCCTGGGGCGGCACCCCAAACACACCTCTATCATTACACTAATCACATAGTGCTGAAACGACCCATTTACTCATCTGTGTGGCTTTTGCCAAACCAGGGAGGGGCTGAGAGACCTGGTGACCCCTCAATGAAAGTGGCATGATCTGGACTAGAATCTCAAGGATCATCTAGATAATTCAATGTTGGAAATGGATTTGTGTTTTCTAATCAAGTTGCTAAACATTTACTTTCACACCAGGTAAAATTCAACCTAACATTATTTATTTTTTAAACATATTTTTATAACTTTAGTTTTTCTTTATTAATTTTTTATGTGGTGCTGAGGATAGAACCCAGTGCCTCACCCGTGCTAGGCAAGTGCTCTACTACTGAGCTACAGCCCCAGTCCCTCAACCTAACATTATTTTTAAAAGAGAAAACATTTTGGCAAAATGAATTTCTTCCATTTTAAAATAAAAATCTGACTGAACAAGCTCACTGACATGCAATTAAACTACCATGAAAAGGCAAAACCAAAGAAATCTCACTTAATGAATATTTATGTCCACTAACAGTGACATATAGTTTAGAGCTATTCTGGTACTTTTTAAAAGCTGAAAATCAAGCTTTAAGGTTTGATGTTAAACAAAAATAATTATGCTTTTAGAAATGAGACTCAGAAGATGAAAAAGTGATGTTGCACAAGAAGGACAAATGCATCAGACCCCGGGGACCCGAGACCAGCCTTCAACAATGAGGGCAGTGTGTATTTTCAGGGCCCTGGATTTTTAAGTTGATCCTGCCCCTGAGGTGGTCGAGGGGGACAGTGTGGAGATGAACATATGTGGGTGAAGAACTGCAGTAACTGCCTGCTGATCTAGGACTCACCCACTCATTACCACAGAGCAGGTCCAAAAGTGTGTCAAACATGCTTACAACCGAGAGGAACAAACCTGGTTCCAGAGAGTTCCGAGTCTCAGGGTACTGACACAGCTTCTCCCACTCATATCACTCCTAAGTAGTTTTCAAAAAACAATTGTTCCTTTAATATTCTCTTGTTTTTTCTTGTTTACATGCCAGTTATAGCTAATTGCTTAATATAACTAAAGTGTTTTCAGCTTGGAACATTCTAGATCTCAAGATCCCTTCTAGAGCTAAGCATGATGGCACACACCTGTAATCCCAAGGACTCCAGGGGCTTATGTAGGAGGATCACAAGTTTGAGGCCAGCCTCAGCAACTTAGAGAGACCTTGTCTCAAAATAAAAAATAAAAGAGCTGAGGTGTTGTTCAGTGGAAAAGTCCCCCTGGGTTCAATCCCCAGTACCAAAAAACAAAGATCCCTTTCAGTTTTGTGATTTTATGATTCTCTGACTACTTCAAACAATTCAATGAGAAACATATTATGGGTGATTGACCTCATATAAAATGACACAAGATTCCAAGTGCTCAATCTAAAACCATCTTTGCTACTATGGACACACACCCAGGCAGCTGAAGGCTCTAGTAACATCATTCCTTTACAGGAACCAAGAGCATGAGATGGGTCTACCAAATAGGGGACAACTCTGTGTATGATATGTACAGTTTTGCCACTTTCCCAACATAGCCATGTTAGGTATTATTTGCCAGAGCTGCTGTAGTTTAAGTAATAGAGCAAAAATAAATGTAAAGTACAAATCCAATAGGGTTTCTCAGACACAGGAGAAAAGCCAAGTGCTGGAGCCGCTTTCACTCCTAATAAATGGAGCCTCCTTTTCCACAAATTGCATGGAAGACACCAAACACCAGCATGGATTTCTCCACAAGTTGCAAAAAATGGTGAAGATACTTAATACAAAACTCAAGAATTCACAGTATCACAAACTCATGCACCCAATTGGCCAAATACTTCTCACCAAATCCACCTCCCACATAGAGGAAAGGAGAGGGCAGAACAAGGGCTATCTTGACTTATCTAGTTTCTGATCATGATTCTCATCATCAGTGAGGTTTCAATGTGTGAGTGGCTCTGTGGGTTGGGCCAGAGCAATCCTGGGAGGGAGGTGGCTGAAGCAAAGCTCAGGGACACGGAACAGAGCAGCCAAGTGTATGTGTGTCACTTAATGGGCCCATTCGGCGTCCCAAGGGAGGTCTGAACTCATGTGTACCTAACTGGGAATCCATGCAATGTCCTGAACCCCAGCCTCCCTGATCCTAGGTTACCCTCTCTGTATGCAGGCCTTACTCTGAAGTTCAGGAAGGGAAAATGAAGCGATTCCTTTCCATTACTTCCAACATGCAGTTCTCTATTAGGTACAGCGAGGAAGTGGCTGCAGGTTCTAGTAATAAACTACAAAATAGATATTCGAATATTTTAAATGTAATTCCCTTTTGAAAGCTCTCTCACAGAGCATTCATGCAGTAATAGCAACTTTGAGTGCAAGCAAGTGCAAGGAAAGGGGCAGTGAAGCCACAAGAGGTGTGACTTGTGAGTGCACGCATGTGCGGGAATACAGCCTTGGAGTTCCAGACTCCGGTGACAGTGTCGTCAGTGGCTGTGTGAAACACACACACTGGCCAGCAGAATCATCTGCAGGAAGCCCCATTTCCAGCAAGCAGACTTGGTGGATACCAGGGGTACTGTCCAAGTATGGCCTGTGGCATGTCCCCCAGTTAGGAAGGTAATGAATGATCATGAGGGGAAAACTGTTTTCGAACCTAAAAAGAAAAACAACAGGGAGGATTTCAATTTCACTCAACTCCTACCTACCACCCCCAAACTCAAATCAGAACTGAAAAAGACACTGGAGGTAGGACACAGATAGGGAAGGGCAAACAGGTGGCCTGTTTTAAGACTTTATTTAGACAGGTGATTCTCAAGAGACTGTGATCCCCCAGTATGTGTGCCAGGTAAGGATCCGAGGAGGTGGTAAAGTGCTTAGAGTGAGACAGGTCCCCGGCATATCCTCGCCACTAAATCTAATTGTATTTTTATGAGTGAAAGTAAGATTTTAAAATAGGAATTCAATATCCTTAGGTGCATCACTTATTACATTTTATCAAGCTTGCTAGGATTCCCTTAGAAGTAAGACTTCTTCAGGTTTCTAAAGTCCTCTTTTAAGTTCCCAGCAGGAACACAGCACAAACTGTAGGATTTCAGTACCTTTGTGTCTCAGGTCACATAGGGTCTTAAAATAAAAGTGTGCAAAATGTTCTGATGAATTACCTTAAGATAAAGATGTCTGAATGACTGTTTTTTAAAGGGGAAGACAATACAGATAGTGAAGAATAGAGCAGGATGACAATCTTGAAATAATAAAGGTTCAAGTTCAGAGATGATGTCACACCGAAAAATAGCCTAAAGACACTTATTTAGGTTTAGGTTTCAGTTGGTTTTGAATGTTGTGAGGGGAGGGCTATCCAAAAAAACTAAAACCCAGAAGGCTCAGGAGGCCCCAGCTGAATGGTAACTGATCCAGGCACTGATGGTTGAAGCTCTGAGTCCTATCATCTACTTCTGGATGACGATGGTTGGGAGCAGCTTCCTCACAGCATTTTTTAAGAAAACTAAGGCAGAAACGCAAGGGCACTCCTACTCGGCAAGAACATGAATAGGTCAGAACAGACAGACGGCTCATTCCTCAGGGGACTCAAGAAGTTGGCTGGCGGATCCACACAAACGGTTTTCCTCTCCACGGAGGAGGACACGAAAGTAGGAACACTGGGAGTGAAGAGTGTAAATACAATTACTCTGGAGAAAAGCAGCGAAGGTGCAAACAGATGAAGACAGAAAAGGAGAAAAGATGCTGACCACATGACACATGCCGAGGTGAGGAAAATGTGGAAACTACTTTATAATGACCAACGCCCCCTGAACAGGGAGACGATTCTCTTATTTCTCCAACACACAAAGCAACAAGTAAAATGGAGGGTTGGAAAATATAAAAATGAAACACCCCACACAGATTTTTCAGTATACTCAAAACAATGTAGCACAGCCAGACTGTATAAACCATTTGTTAAAAAAATATCTTCTTTTATATCATATGAACAAGTTGGACTGAGTGTCCTTCTGCTAGTTCCCACTGACTGTGTAGGGAGGGTGCAGATTCACCTCGGGTCTTCAGCTTCTCTTACTTCTCGCATGTAGCTTTGGTGCTTCAGTAGCCATGTGGATCAGAACAACCATTTCTTTAGTAAATACTACATCTTTCTGATTCCTGGGAGAGTCATCAAGACACTACTGGGGTCATATCCCACAACTGGGAAAAGAAAAAGTAGAAAATGAATTAAGTCAAATTGGGTTGAGGATGAACAGTCCTTATAATTGAAGCCAAGAGAGTATTTTTTCATTTAACAAGAATCTACACCTGTAATCCCAGTGGCTTGGGAGGCTGAGGCAGGAGGATCGAAAGTTCAAAGCCAGCCTCAGCAACAGTGAGTCTAAGCACCTCAGTGAGACTCTGTCTCTATAAATAAAATACAAAATAGGACTGAGGATGTGGCTCAGTGGTTAAGTTCAATCCCCGGTACCAAAAAAAAACATAAAGAGAAGAATCTACATACTCCACTAATATGACAAGGGCAGCTTGAAATTTTGACCCAGGTGTGGAGAATAAAGGCAGATCAGAGCCAGTTAAGGGTGACGGGAACAAATTGCACACCAAGCCTGGGCTGTGTTCTTTCCATATGTCTCTGCCAATCTTCCAAAGAACTCTATAAGATTCAAAAATAAAGGAATCAAGGCTCCCAGAGTTTGCTTTAAACTTGTTCCAAGTCACAAAGGGGGCTTCAAACAGGGTAGTTTAACTACATCATCTCACTGCTGCCCTTAAGAATAGGACAGAAATGACACAAAGGCCCCCTTCTGTTTGTGCCTCTGCTGTGACACTGAATCCATGTGGTCTACCGCAGTCCTCAGAGAGGCCCTGGATGAATGTGCCTGGATTAATTGATTTCACTGGGAAAAGACGTGACTACCTGCTGGCTTATTCCTGTCCTGCCTTTCAGTGCTCCGCGCACTCCCACCTGCTCCAGGAAGCCTGCTCCAGCATCTCTGTCTCCCGGATGGAACTTTTTTTTTGGTACTGGGGATTGAACTATTGAGCCACATCCCCAGCCCTTTTTGTGTATTTTATTTAGAGACAGGGTCTCACTGAGTTGCTTAGGCTGGCTTTGAACTCGTGATCCTCCTGCCTCAGCCTCCTGAGCAGCTGAGATTATAGGTATGTGCCACTGTGCCCGGCTGATGGAACTTGTCTGTGTGAATCTTCTGACTGCTGTATGTGTGACCTACTATTTGTCTTTTAAAGAGTATGTCCCAAGTAGATTATCTGTTCCATGCACTTTGGAGCCATAAATGTACTAGGCTCTCAAAAATGCTCAGTGCCAAGGATAACCTTGCGAGCCCAGCCTCACGTGTTCTGGGCTCCTGTGTATTCGCATAAGGCCACAAATGGAAAGCTTAAGATGGTGTCTTACCTTAATGACTTTGTCGGTTCCAGAAGTCAGTAACCATCCCCTGGTTGCATCAAAATGTACATGCACAATATTATGTTTACTATCATGGAAGGTAGCTGTGGGTGCACGTCTAGAAAGACCAAGGAGAGGATAAAAGGTGGGATCTAGGAATTACAGAGATCAAGGTGACATTGTGCTCTAATTTTTAGGCTAATGGCTAAAACTGCTTCACTATTAGAATCACTTCCCAGATCTGCCTTTATTCTCTGGTGATCTCTTATAAGATTTTAACAAGATAATAAGGCAAAAGGATCCCTATTCTCCAAAATGAGAGATGAAACCCCCACACATGTTGCTCTGATGATCTGAAAATCTCTACCTGCACCTTTTGAGAAATCTTTTAAAAACCACAGTGCTTTTTGCTAAGTTTGCACTCAGAAGGAAGGGCTTGCAGGTTAAGTGGCCCATTTAAAAAAAAAAAAAGGCATAATTGTTAAAATACCTAAGATACTACTGTCATTCTATTTGAAATCCATCAATTTCTCTTTCTTTGTTCACTGGTATAACTGCTGACTTAAGTTTTTCTCTTTCTAAAGCTTTAACAGGTGAAACAAAGTAGAAACAAACATCACTATTTTGTGTTTTTTTTCTTTTTTTTTTCCTCTCTCTTTTTTTTTTTTGGTATTGGGGATTGAACCTAGGGGTGCTTACGAGCTATACCTCTAGTCTCCCCTTTATTTTCTAATTTATTTTTTGAGACAGGGTCTCCCTAAGTTGCTGAGGCCAGTCTCAAACTTGCAATCCTCCTGCCTCAGTCTCCAGTGAGTGCCACCATGCCCAGCTGTTTTGCATTTTTAGTCTATGCTTTTTTGGTTGTTTTGAAGGAAGGTTTATCAAGTGTCCCTAGAGTGCTCTAGGGGTAGGGCAAGTGAGGCAGAAGTCACAGTGATTCCCTAGGAAGGGTCAGGGAGGGGAAAATAGAGGGTTGCTCTCCAGTCATGTTTTAAGGGGTGCCACTCTGCCACAGTGGGCTCCCTGAAGACAGTTTTCTTCTTCTTTGTTTTGTCTATGTCTTTATAAAAAGAATTAAAATGGACCACCTGAAGTCTCTTGCAGCACTCTATTCAATAAGAACTCTTACTGGAGCTGAGAATGTAGCTCATTGGTAGTGTTTGTCTCCCATGCACAAGGCCCTGGGTTCAATCCCCAGCACCCGCCTGCCACACACATACAACCATGATGAGTGGAAAATAACCAATGAGTATAAATGCTTACTTACAAAAGGTCATCTTAATTTTTGTTTGATATAAGTATACAAAGAATACTTCAAGTAATTTTATTGTACTAAAAGGTGCTGGGAGGATTGGGAAGAAAAGTCTCCTAGGAGATTGGTCCTTCGGTAAATTACCAACAGGGAAACCTGTTCCAGATCATTCTGTTTGCATCTAGGGACAATTTTTAATTAGCTAACATTAAAGAGACAATGCAGATTTGCCTCACCTTCCAAAGCACACCTGAGACCCTAGGATACTGGGCAGGACTGAGAAGCAGCCAGCTGAGTAGTAAGCAACTGGGAGTATTTGCCTTTTAGGTAAAGCAGTTTAGCTCTTCCTAGAAATTGAAACCTTCTAGAGCCCCAAGCTGATTCAAATCCTGTAAAGACAGCAGCTCAGGCTATAAAGCAAATTCTGGGCCCCTGCACCCCTCGGCAATTCTCAAGAAAATGAGCAGGCAGAAGGATTTGTGTGGAGAGCATCTACTTTAAATGCACATTTCCCTGAGATTAAGAAGTGTACACAGATGAATTCTTCAAGCCTATTCTCTCTTCATTTATCTCTCAAGATAACACAAGTCTCTTGAGGGAGGAGGGAGGGAAAAGGAGGGTCCTGGGGAATGAGATTGATCAAATTGTGTTGTTGCGTGTATGAATATGACACGATGAATCACACTATTACAATTATAATGTGCCAGTAAAAGATAAAAATCTCTTTGCCATGGTCTACACTCTAAACTGGCAGGAACAAGGGCCTCAGGAGTCATGGTTGGAGCGCTGAGTGCTGCTCTCAGACAGGATTCTTTCCTCCACCTAGAGAGTCCTGCAGACCCCCTGGAACTTACTCTTCATCGGTGATGGCTTCATGGCAGCTGTCACAGACTCTCACTTCAAACTCGAAGCCCATCAGGGGGATGGAGGAGCGCTTGGAGCTGCACTTTCCGCAGACAGCTTTCCCGCACTTGCGGCAATGGTGCTGCAGGAGGGACAGAAAACAGGTGGCTGTGACTCAGTGCCACTCTCCTGGCATACTCACGTGAGTGACCACACTCAGGTGAAGATGCCAAGCAAGAGTGCCCCAGAACCCTAGCAGGAGCACACCAGCTCTTTTCAGACTGTGCTCTGAAAGAGGACTGCTGGGAAATATCCCAGACAGTGCCACCTCCCCTCTCCTCCTTTCCTGGTCCTCTACCCTGTGCTAGTACCACTGCTGTGAGCCACAGAGGCCAGGGGCTTTGGGGTTGGGTGCCATCTCTCGAAATCATGCCTGGATGAAGGAGGATGTGGATGAGAACTGATTCAACCTGTTGTCTGTAACTCTGGCCATGGTCAACCTAGGTGACCTAACATCTGATTTCTCTGGGGAAGACCAAACTGAACTATGTAATCTGATTGAAAACTATATTATGAGCAGATCTAAATAACTAAAACCATATCAGGAGGAAGGAAAGCAAAATAATTAAGAAGAAATAAATACCACTTGTCTAAATTAATGGTTTGGAACCAATGTGAGCTAAGCATGTGATACCTCTGATTTTAAGATGTATTTCAATAGATGCCATTAGAATTCTAAAACTGTATCCCTCAACTACTTTCTAGACGAAATCACTACACAAAACAGAATCGAGTCGGAATGAACTACAGTAGAGAAGGCAATTCCAGAATAATAATTTACCTCTACCACACTCCCACCCAGGGTGCTACTTCTTCTAAGATTACAAGGTTAAGTTATTTCCACACAACTGTATTTTGATGAAGAATCCAAATCATCTTACCTGTCTTAGGCCAATTTTCTTACTGTCCCACATTTGTTTGAAGTTCCAGAAGAAAGGCTGATCACACTTTTGGCAGGAATCGCTGTCCAGCCACTCAGGTGTCTTGTCAAATAAAGCACACAACAGGTCACAGTGAGAAATGGTGTGGACAATGGAACCAGTGACACTGATGAAACTTTTGGAATCAGGATGTGTTTATCAAAAACAGAGGGTGATTTCTCAACCATTCAAAAAGTACTTACTGGAACGCCTCTTATGTGTCAGGCCCTGGGGACGGGATGGGAGGTTGTGGCAAATAAAACAATCTCTATTGTCTTGGAGTTTATGATTTCCAGAGAAGAGTGGTCATGAAATATTATTACTAATATCTATTCAATAACTCTAAGAGTACAAGGACCTGAGGGGAAGCAGAGCGCCATGGTGGAGGTGTGACAGGGGGTTCAGACCCAGGCTGAGGTCCTCTGACAAATGCTAGAAAGCTGAGACCCAAGGCTGCGTGGAGGAGGCTGGGAAAAGGGGCTGGGACAATGTCAGGACGCTGGAGGGCAGATGGGAGAACAAGGGATGAGAGCACAGGGCTCAGCCCGGGCCATATCACACAGGCACTTGGCAGCCTTGCTGAAGATTTAGGACTAAATTTCCTGTTCTCTGAATGGATGCAGTTACATTTGCTCCAATCACATACAATGATGTCTAACTGAACATCACACACACACGGTCCCCCACGTCGGATGACACAGAACCTGACTCCAGCACATACTCAGGGAAGCTACTTGTCCACTGTCTACTTGTGGCAGGGCACCGTGGGGTTTCAGGCTCTCTCCTTGGCTCACAGGTCACACGATATTCTAGCTTTGTTCACTATTTCTCATTCCTGTCATAACTTTTCTAAATTATGCCAGACAGGTTCTAAAAGTGAGTTTCACTTAAAAATATTCTTTAGCAATCTTTATAGATTATGCAAATGGTAACTACATTTGCTTCCAGAGTTCATGTCCAACTCTCCAGATTTTATTACTTGGCAGAGGAAATCATCTCTTTCCATATAGCACAGAACCCAAAGAACCTTGAAAATATATCCAACCTAGGATTTCCCAACAGTGAATTCCAGGGAACATCCTACTCTCGGGACACTCTCTTTTTATAAAAGAGGCCTTAGAGCAAACAAGTTTGAGAAATGTCATAAACAGCAGCCTACTCCTCTAGACATTCACAGTAGACAGGAGCATGGTCAAGCTCTGAAGTCCATTCAGGGTCGATGTGACCCTTTTCTGAGGAATATCTGCTACGGATCAGATGTTAGGATTTAGCTTCTTCTACCTTTCAGGCAGACACAAACCTAAAACTACAGTTTTCCCTCCCAGTGGCTCAGGAGGCTGAGGTAGGAGGATCAATAGTTCAAAGCCAGCCTCAGCAACTTAGCAAGGCATTAAGCAACTTAGTGAGACCCTGTCTCTAAATAAAATATAAAAAAGGTTGTGGATGTAGCTTAGAGGTTAAGCACCCCACGATTCATACCTCAGTACAAAACAAAACAAAACAAACAAAAAAATCCAACAACCTAGTTTGCCCCAAAATAAAAAGAGGACATTTTAAAGTACTTTACTTTTGTTCTTTATTTTATTAAACCAAAGAAAAAGAGTAAACCTTGATTTGATTTGTAATTTTCATGACCAAGTCCATTTAAAAACAGATTTAATATAATAACACAAAGTTTTAGCTAAAGGCATCTTACCCCTAAAAGACTGATTATGTGATTTTTTTTTTTTCAGAACATATGATGTGGAAGAATCAGGAAAATTTTAAAAAAAGAAGAAGCAAAGACTTCTTTGTGACACAAAACGAGTAATGCTTATAGTATATAATCAGACTTGGGTTAATCAGGAACTTCTAGGGCCCTGAAAAAACTGAATTAGCAACTCATTTCACATAGTAAAAAACACACTAACATGCTTCTTAGAGAATTGAGGGGGCAGCACTAATGTCCGTTTATGGAACATTCTCAAATATCACTTTCTTACCACTAAGAATTATGTAGTAGAAACAAATATTTAAAGACAGGGAAAATGTCCAATATATAATGAACTGAAACCCCCCAGGTATTAAGTACTATATATATACCAAAGTTAACAGAATAAAAGAAGATATTTATGAAGTTTGTAACTAACAAAGAATTCCTTCTAATATCTATGATATACAAAGAACCCCTGCAAATCAATAAGAAAATGACAAGGAACAGTTGAAAAGCTGGCAGAAGATGCAAGAGATACGACCATGCAATTCATAGCCAGGGTGGTCTGAATAGCTAAAATATACAAAGAGGAAATCAAATTTACTATTAGGCAGAGATGCAAATAAAAACAAGACATTCATTTATCCCTGTCTCCAATAGGGCAAAACCAGAAATGTGGTAACAATAACTATTGGTGAGGATGCGGAGTATCAGGGAGAGATTCCTCACATTGTTCTCTCCTCTAGAAATATATGTGGGTACAGTAGTTTGGTTGTTACTTAGCAAAAATCAAGAATATACCTGGATTGATCCCACACAGGTTGGTGAGGGGACATGTATCATAAGTCATCTGGTGCTGTATGTAGTACCAGAGAGTTTGTATCTATCTATGTGCCCTTTGGGGAACAGAAAGGTAAAATTTGACTGATATATATTATGAGAACCTATACAGAGGCACCTCAAGACACACAGAGCTCCAAAAAAGTTTGAGGGGAATAGCTGGAAACAGCAGACTTGTAGTGTAGTTATCATTTATGTAAACTTGAACACATACACACACATGCATACTTCTTTGGGACACATATTAAATGTGGGTGCCTAAGAGGAAGGAAGTGGAGTAATGATCTGGAAAGGGGAAAAATAAATCAACATTATATATTAGCATTCTAATTTTTGTTAAAAAATTTTGTACACATGTACATACAGGGAAAAATGTAAGGAAATATAATGTTTTGCCATTTATAGGTAGTGGTATTATAAGTACTTGACCTGGCTTCTACTTGTTAATAAGCATCTTAACTTTCCTATGTATATAACATGTAGTATATATAAAACATACTTTTCAAATGATAAATGTAGCAATTAGGGAAATGTAAATCAAAACTACAGTGAGATTTCATCTCACTATAGTCAGAATGGCAATTATCAAGAATACAAATAAAGGGCTGCGGTTGTGGCTCAGCAGTAGAGCACTCGCCTCACACGTGTGAGATCTTGGGTTCAATCCTCAGCATCATATAAAAATAAACAAATAAAATAAAAGTACTGTGTCCAACCAGCAAAAAAAAAAATATTAAAAAAAAAAAGAATACAGATAATATGAAGTGTTGGGAGGATGTGGGGGAAAAGGCACACTCACTCAAACCTTTGTTGGGACTGCAAATTAGTACAAACACTCTGGAAAGCAGTATGGAGATTTCTCAGAAAACTAGGAATGGAACCACCATATGACCCAACTATCCCATTCCTTGGTATATATCCATAAAATCAGCATACTATGGTAATGCAGTCATCTCAATGTTTATAGCAGTGCAATTCACAATAGTCAAGTTATGGAATCAGCCCAGGTACCCATCAACAGATGAGTGGATAAAGAAAATATGACACACACACACACACACACACACACACACAAAATGGAGCACTACTCAGAGAGAAAGAATGAAATTATGGCATTTGCTGATAAATGGATGAAACTAGAGAACATCATGCTAAGTGAAATAAGCCAGATCCAGAAAGTCAAAGATCAAATATTTTCTCTGTTACGCAGAAGCTAGTTCAAAATAAGGGGGTGGGGAGAAGAAGGGAGAGGGAGGGTGGAAGGGAAAGGGAGAGGGAGAGGGAGAGGGAGGGTGGGAGGGAGGGAGAGAAAGAGAGAGAACAGGAGAGGGGAGGGGAGGGGAGATGGGAGGAGAGGAAAGGTAAGGTGTAGGGAGAAGATCTGGGGAGTAGAAGAAGGGGACTGAGGGTGAGGAAGGAGGAACAGGATAAAGGAAGAACAGTGTGAGGAATCTGGCCTAACCTTCCAACATACATATATGAATATACCACAGTGAATCTCACCATCAAGTATATCCAAGAAACACTAAGTGGAAAAAACAAACAAACAAATTATAAGTAAATAGCAGAAAGATCAGTAGAGGGAAGGGAATAGGGAGAGGGAGAAGGAAGGCAAAGTGGGGTAGGTACTGGGGCCTGAATTACAGCAAATTATATATGCTTTTATGTCAAAATGAATCCAAATGTTATATGTAAAAAATAAAATGATGAACATTTATAAAAATGGGCTTATTAACTGTATAGAAAAACACAGGTTTAACATATGGAATGCTGACCTGATCTGCATCTGGCCACTCAAGGTCCTCCATCATCTTCCCCTAGCCATTCTCTCATCTCTGACTGCTGCCCACCTGCTCATGAGCACTAACGCACCACACACCTCTTCTCACATCACCTTGTCCTTACTCTGGAGTTTTTTTTTTTTAGTCTGCAAAGCCCACGAAACTCCTGGTTAGAACACGGCCAGTCCTACTAATATTTTAGCATCATGTCCTTCCATAAATCCTTCCCTGATAACCTTGGCCAATGACATTAATGCTCCTTCTGAATACCCAGCACTGATGTTCTTCCTACACTGACTGTAATTTCATTATTTATACAATTTAATAGCATTCTGAAGCTTTCTGAAAATCTGTTGGCACCTCGGGTTAGGGACTGCTTCATCATAGTGTTAGGCCTCCCAAGGCGAGCCCCCCACAGTCTTTTCCATAGCCAGCAGGCAGCTCCCCAGATAATGAATTACAAACACTATCTCTGGAGATTTAGGTTTATGAAATATGACACTTGAAAAAGATGGATGGAACCATTTCCACTGCTTATTTAGAACTTCGACTTACTCAACAAGATTTTAAATCCATCAACAAGTATCCAGTGCTCATATATCTGCATGTCAAGAGGCATAACTTAAGCCAGATGGTTCAAAGGATTGCCTGTCAACTACCTGGTTTCACCTCTGGAAATGACCTTTGGGTCTCTGTTCATAAAGGATGGAGGCTACCTGCACTGAGAGAAAAGAACCTACCATTCTCCCCTCCCCTGGTCCGGTCAGTTAGGGCAGGAAAGAAGCCAGGCCAGATGAGGCATGACATCTTTCACCTAAGGCAGACTATCATGCACAACACAAGTTGGGACGCCCACAGGGGAGCCTGGTTAGCACGACCAGCACTCATGGTAACAATTCTCTGGCTTTTTATGGATGGTGCCAAGTGCTTTTCAAAAGCAATATTCTACAATTCCCCACTTCCTAACAGTAATGATCATTTTAATTAGTTACTAATAGAACTCCTGTGGATTTATGGTTTGAGCAAATAAAGCTTTAATCTTCTTAAGCATTTAATTACTAGCATTTGAAGGGCATTACATTGTGGGTAACAGAAAATTCCCTCTTGAAACAAGACTGGGGAAAGGGCATGGAAAGAATTTGGAAAATTGCTTTTGTCTTTTCAAAGTGTTTCTTTTCTACCTAATTCTTACATCCTGCCAGAAATAAGTTCAAAGACTGCACTATAGAAGGGAAAGTCTACCTAGAGACATTCTAGGGTACTGGGAAGATGGTTAACTTCAAAGTACTTGTCAAAGGGGATTCAGTAAACATACTAGTTAAGATGCTCAAAGATTAAAAGCAAAACTCATTTAAGAAAAGAGTACTGATAAAATTTAAATATGTGCTTAAAAAAGACAAAGTATATGTAACTGGGGATTTTTTTAGAACATGACTCAAAAAGAAGCACCAAATAAATTATTTCTAGCATTTCTCTTAATACCAAATTAAAGGTCCTTACTTCTTAACCACTGTTTCCTTCAATGACAGAAAGCACATGAGCTCTCGGTGTCCCTGGGGCATTTTATGTTGGGACTAATCACCAAAAATTAGATGGTTCTTTTTCTCACCTGTATTTTTGCTGTGAATGGTGTAACAGATTTAAAGTCTAAACAGCTTAGTCTCAGTGAAAATTCTCATGAAATCATATTAAAGTAATCATATTAATGTAACATGCCAGTTCGTAAGGAGCAGGGAAAAAAAAGAGCTCCTTTAACACCATAATTTAAAATTCTCTAACATGTCTTATTACATGGTTTAATTATAAGGTATCAAGAAATAAGGAGGGAGGTAGAGCTTGACCTCAGGGCTAAACCCGGCCTACTGGGACACCTACCTCCTGCCTCTCCACATCCATGTTCCAGACGACTATGCCACCGTCACCACCACATGAGATGAGCTGTCGTGTGTGCTGTGCATAGGAGAGAGCCTGGACTTTGTCACTGAAAAAAACCAAGAGTTGGTCACAGTTTGGGAGAGCAAATGATGGGTCTAATGACTGAAACCCCAGTAAAATCAGCCAATGTGTGTCCACACTCCCAAGCCCCACGTGTAGACCTTAGAAACCTGGTGGAATTTTCAACATGCTGTCAGTGAGAAGCATATCCAATATGTAAAATAAGTCTAAATGCTGCTTTCACCTGCTCAGGCCCCAGAAGGAGGTAGTTACTGTCAGTTACCAACACTTAAAGGAAAAAGCTGATCAAACACGAATGGATGTAATAGCTTACTGGTTCCTCTCCTCTTTATTAAAATCCACATGTTCATTTTATGATTTTACCTTTGAAAAACTTACCCTTTAAGAACTTTGGAGGTCAGCCTAGAGATATCCACAGGCTTTAGCTGACCAAGTTGGGTAGCTGCACAGCCACTCTTTTTGGCTCCCAGAATAAATCCAAAGCGGTAATAGACTTGAATTTCACTGACTCTGTCTCTAGTTTTTATTCATTTTGTTTTATTTTTCCTTCTCATTTGTGCATGGCTGACAAGTTATTTCCCCTCAGTGGTAAAAATGGAGGAGAATTCAGTTTTATGGCTTGATAATCTGGTGATTGCTAGCAATGGATTAAAGAGATCTATCCTCTGTTGGATGAAAGAGAGAACAGGGTTATCTGGTCTTGGACATTTTGTTTGTATGTTTGTCTATTGCTTTCCTTTCTTTCTTTTTTTTTTTTTTTTTTTTTGGTGCCTGGGGTTGTACTTAGGAGTTTTTAACCACTGAGCCACATCCCTAGCCCTTTTTATGTTTTATTTTGAGACAGGGTCTCACTAAGTTGCTTAGGGCCTCGCTAACTTGCTGAGGCTGGCTTTGAACTTATGCTCCTCCTGCCTCAGCCTCCCAAGTCACCGGGATTACAGGCACGTGCCACCATGTCTGGCTTGTTTGTCTATTCTGAGCTCAAATCCATTAAGAAATGTGTGTTCATTGGGAAGGAGACCAGTTCTTTAACATCCAGACTGGTGATGTAAAGGTAATGCTATATCACATGGTTGTGTGTCCATGAGCTTTGCTAGGCTGAACAGTTGTCAACTGTCTATTCCCACTCTCCCCCCAATTTTTTTGAATGAAATAGAAGTGAGTTGTTTTGGTAATTTTTATAATTGGAATAAGTGATCAAGATTATGCTGGATGCAATAGTGAAAAAGAAATACAAGTGTGAATGTATCCTTTTTTTTTTTTTTTTTTTTGAGACAAGGTCTCACTATATTACCCAGGCTAGCTTTGAGTTTAGCATCCCCCTGAATCACCATATCTTGTATGAATAATTTTGTCTTAAATCAGTGGTTCTCAAATTTTTTTGGTATGAGGATCCCCTTTAGACTCTTGGAACTTATTTCAGGACATCAAAGAGCTTCAATAAATGATAACTACCAAAATTTACTGTATTTTAAATAAAAACTGAACAATTTAAAGATACTGATTCATTTGAAAATTGCATTAATGAATCCATTCCTTTTAACTTTACATGTATTTTGTGAAAAACACTTTGAGAAAAAAATTTTTGCTGAGAAAAATGTCATTTTAATGTTTTTGCAAATATTTCTAATGTCTGGCTTAATGGATAGAGATGGATATTCACATTTTTGTGCATTTATAATGATATCACTCATCATGTAGCCTATGAAAAACTCTGCTGTATACTTTTGAGAGAATAGGATGCTCAAAGGCAATCCTAAAGTGTCAATCTGTTCCAGAATATGAAAGGGAAACATGGAGAAAACAACTTGGAAAGAGAATTTTATTTGCTTTGGTTTATAATATCTGAGTCTGAAAAAAAGGTTAGAAAAAGCATTTCTCTTGGTTTTGATGACTTGCTTCCTTGGTTAACTGATTAATGCCTTTGACTATAATGAAAAGGCAAATTCTTTACCTTTTGTGGAATCTGCCTAGCTAGAAGAGATTCTGTGTCTCACCAGAATTATTTCTAGTGCTTTATGTTGACGGATTAACGTCCTTGATATTTTTTAGAAGGGAAAGGGAAGACAAAAATTTTTTAAAAAAATGTTACTTTCAATGTCAATTTTAAAATATTTTATTGATCTTCAATTGTGCTATTGTTCTAACCAAGTATTTAAGACTCCTCTGAGTAATCTTTGGCTTTGTTTTTTTAGACTGAACTCTCTATTTTGAAGAAATAAAGTATTTAGAGTATGCTGTATGCCTAAAATTCTTTATGAGACAGAGAGATCCTGGACAACCATGAAGATTTGTTCCTTTACCTAATAAAAAAAAAAAGAGAGATGCTATATGTAATTGTATTTGATGTGTCACTATTTTAAGAGTTGGAGGTGGGGATGTAGCCCAGTGGTATCCACCTTTCTGGCATGCACCAGGCCCTGGACTCTATCTCTAGCACCACAGAAACAGAATACATAGAAGGAGTTTTCAGTCCTTCCTAGGTTAAGTCAGTATTAGTAAAATATTATTAATATAAATATTTCAGAAATTTTATGTTTGTGGGAAGATCTTGGAGATTTGCCAATGTCCTCATTGTCTCTAATATGGTTTTTATCCTACAGGTACATACTGCTCAAAATTCTTGGGAAATAGTTACATACGATATTCTAGTACAAAATTTTATTCCCATTCTGACATTATTGGTCACAGTGACATATTAACCATCAAGTCACTAATCTACAGATAACTTTTATATTACTGTCTGATACTTGCATGAGATTCTGATGTAAGCAAGGACCAGAGTTTGTGGCAAAGACAACCTCTTTTCATGGAAAAGGACAGAATGTACCAGGTATTTTAACATATCAATATTTCAAATAATACTCTTGGGCACATACCACTGAGCTGACATTGCTTAGACAATTTTTAAGCTATGCCAATGAACTGAGTCAGGGTTTCTGGACTTTTGTTTGGATGTAGATGACTTCATCAATGAGGACTGCTAAGCCAAGAACCAGTAGAATAAGAATTAATTACAGTTCACTCACAGGACTGAAGGAACAGAAGAGGGAAATTTTATTGTGTATATTTGTCTGGAATACTATTGATAGTGTTTTAATATTCTATTATCTGGATATATGAGGATGTCTTTTTTCTTCTTTTTTTGCGGGGGTGGGTGGGTACCAGGGATTGAACTCAGGGGCACTCAACCACCAAGCCACATCTCCAGTCCTATTTTGTATTTTATTTACAGACAGGGTCTCACTAAGTTGCTTAGTGCCTCACTTTTGCTGAGGCTGGCTTTGAACTCTTGATCCTCCTGCCTCAGCCTTGTGAGCTGCTGGGATTACAGGCATGTATCACCATGCCCAGCTGTTACTTTTTTAAAAAATATTTTTAGTTGTAGTTGGACACAATACTTTTATTTAATTTATTTTTATGTGGCAATAAGGATCAAACCCAGTGCCTCACACGTGCTGGGCAAACACTCTACCACTGAGCCACAACCCTAACCCCAATCCCTCTCTTATTTTTTAAGTCATCTCTAACCTCAATTTAGTAAACTCTTTTTTATAGTTGAAATCAAAATATTAAAAAAATGTTATCTAATGCTCATCAATTACCCAGAATTCAAAATTGTTACTGAGTCTCCTTAATTCTCATGGCACAATAGTTACCTGCATAGGTCTACTAAGAATCTAGCCCCAAGATAAAAATGGGCAAACCAATTGTACGACCAAACCCTTTGCTGGAGTGTCTATTTTAGAATGACGGTCACTGAATCAGAGATGAGCCTCCATTTCAGGAACTCATGGAGCTAAGGCCTACAAAGCCCTCCTAGGAAAACAGTCATGGTGACGTGGTTGGCTGGTCCTGGCTGTCTAGGCAGTAAAGAAGGTACCAGACCGGGAGCTCACCAAATATGGGAAACTTTCAGGAATTCTACCAAAACATTAAGAACCACAGGTGAAATACAGCGGAAGATTTTTCAAGGCCTGATTTCTTAGCCTTGGGAGAGCAAATAATAGAGGCTCTGAAAAGTTCAGTCCTTGATCCCTTGTAACAAAGTCCAGGAGAAGGCTAATTTTGCAGGCATTAACTAACAGCTGTGGAATACTATGTGGCTCTAGATATGCAAAGCAAGCCCAATAAAGCCTATATGGTTGATTAACACTGCACCAATGTAAATAATCAGACCAAACCTATAAAGCCAGCCTCTTTGTGTGTGTGATCAAAACTAATCTTTGCAATTATTATGATCACAGGGCAGGAGGAAGAAATGACTGTTAAGAGACAGTGAAAGACTTGAAATGGTTCAAAAGAGATCATTAGGCAACTTTCCAATGGAATATTAGGTGTTTAGCACACCTTTCTAGGTTATCTGATTCTATAAGGGTTTCAGTACTTTTAACTGGGTTATTTTATAACTCTGTGTTATAGAAAACTGACATTACTGCAAATTAGTCTTATCCAGTGAAGACACTATTATCCCTGGGCCCCAGCCCACCCATGGAAGAAGCCAGCTGGGCATCTACTTACAAATGCACCCCAGCATGCACCACTACCTATGTATGTGTCTCTCTTTGGATATTTACCTTTGGGCTAGCTGTGACATCTTACGGGTTTCTCTTATTAACTGCTACTATAAATCTTTGACATGCATTCATTTTTTTCTAAAAGTCAATCATTTTCTCACTCTTTCCTGGTTATTATTTCACACTTTTAAAAGTATGGAGTGCCACCCTTCTGACATTCAAAGGGCAAGAAGGAAAATCTACCTAGTTAACAGGCTCGTAACTGTGATTTGAACTGCATTTCATTTGCTAAGGCACCCTCACACACATCAGCAATCTTGTCAAACCAAAATGCTCTGCAGAAGGAACTGCTTTGCCACACATAGCTGGCAGTGACATTCAGCAACAAATACATAATTTATGGGACTCTGGGATTGTTAATATTCCAACACAGAAGTGTGGAACACAGTGATGAATACTGGATTCCAAGCTTTATGATAAAGCTACTCAGGGTTGTCATGATGTATGA